TCTTCCCAGATAAGTTTAAGTTATGATGATAAGTAATTAAGTGTTGTCTCCCAAAAAGAAATTTGTTAAAGCTCATTATGTTTTAAAAACTGTTAAACCTCTTACTAAAAAAATTAAAAAAATAATAAGAAAAACTGTTTCATATAATCTAATGTTATTAAAAGATCTACACCTCAAATGATTATCTCTTCAAGATCGCAACAACTTACTAATCACGTGCTTCATAAAGTGCTTGTCATAACCCAAACAATCACTCTGATAACAAAACTTAAAATATCAGAAACCGAAATATGTATGCTCACCGAATGTGCCAAGCCCATCGTAGAGCAATATTTTTTGCTTGTGGCGGATATCACGCAATGGCTTTAAAAAACCACAATTTATTTATAAATTAGTATAGTAAGAATATTTTCGGAATTTTTTGATCAACACACATGGCAATGGGCCTTAAAACAAAACACGCCAATGACAAGTAAGCCAAATGAGTAATGCGCAAATGGGTCTAATCAAAATCTGTGGTCGCACCAAGGCGGCACTGCGCCGTGATTAGACAATTTCTTTAAAAATTTAATTAAAAGTGAAGTTAAAAATCGTGTTGATGGTAAAATAGTTTTGACGACTGCCTAATTACTAAACAATTTGCAAGTAGTTCTCACACAACTGAATACATTTCACATTTAGACAATCTTAATTTTACAGATATACCTAAATACGTAAATACTACTTGTATTTATGGTGATAATAAAATTTTATTAGTCTGAAATTCATTCACTTTGTTGGATATTAGAGAAAGACAAAACCATGACATTCGCAAGGAGATAAGTTTTAATTTTAACACTTCAACTCAACATATTTATGACGTTATAAATTGTTCAAAAAAAAAAATAAATAAGTAAAAATAAATAATTATAATAAGACAGGTAAAATTACTGTATCTGATAAAAATACTGAAAACCAAAAAAAAAACAAATTTTCTACCCAAAAATTTCTCAATTATGAACGTGAAAAATGCATTTGTGTTCAACTTACGAGAATAAATGGGTTATTTATCTTTGGAAAATCGAATAGACGGAACAATGAAATAAACTGATTGCTTAAAAATGAGGAAGGTAGGAAATCCCTAAGTAACTAACTTTCCTTTAGGAATGATAACAAATTAAAAGAACTGCATTTATAACACGAATTTAGAGCTATTCGGGTATATTGTGTGTTGGCCAGACCGATTCACTCACTGCACAAAACCACAACACTTAAAATTCTAAGCTAATCTCCTCGGAAATTGTAAAATAATTTTAAAATACTTAACCGTAGTCTGCCATTAGGGTTCAACCTTTCAGGTATTTACCACCGTAAATATCACGCATATATCATGCGGCAGAACCAGCGTATGATATCAGTTTTGTAATTGTAAACAAACTTGCGATCGAATCCGTAGAAGAACAGGTAAAACCACTTCTCGATTTTCGGGTTGTCACGTACAATGAGGAGAAAGAAAAGAACGAAATAAAGAAATAAGACCAAAAGCAGCGAAACAAAAAGAAAGTATCATAAAATTATATAAATAATATTATTATCTGTCTTTTATGTTGTGTCATTATTTATTTTATTTTTCGTTGTTCTCGGTTTTGGTCAAACTTTTAATAAATTTATTGCCTCAGTGGGAAGGCAAAGAGACAAGTAATTTAAAATGGGTACATTTGAATAATAGGTCGTTGTCGCTTTCAGGCGAATCAGTTTAAGAGTCTGAGATGTAGTCGTACTCGGAGCCGTACTCGGAATTATTAATGAACTCTCAACTATCTTAATTCTTAATAAGGTTAGAGCTACTGAAATTATGCTTTTCGATGTAAGTTTATTACTTCCATAGAATATTAAAGAGGAATATCAGATAATTTGAATTGAAATAAAGAAAATAGTGGAATGAAAACAAGAAATGCAATTACAAGTTGAAAGTTAATGGATATTGATCATGCTTTGTGTGTTGGAGAACACCAAATTAATACCAAAAGTATTTTTTACTCTTCTCTATAAAGTTTGGCTACTGAAATTTTTCTTTTCATAGTTAGTTATGAGAATTTACTATCCACAAAATATGTAAAAGAAAACCCAGATAATTTGGACTGAATTTAAACAAAGAAACAAATGGTGGAAATCGTGGTAGGAAAAAAGATTATTACCAGGAGTTATCAAAATAAAATCATCTACGGGCAACTATTATTTTTTTTAATTACTATTTGTATTTCATTATATTTTAAATTTAAAATGAAGGAATAAGCAACCGATTTCCTATAGAACTTCAGTAAAACGGTATCTCTAATCGTCGATCCCGGCTTTCAGTAAGGTAATCAAAATTTCCATTTTTTTACATGTCTTGGTTATGCCTAATGATAGTTAAACATCTCTCATACAATAGGATAAGTCTTTAATAGATCATATATTTTTTTTTAATTTCCAACCTTTTTACTCGACCAACTCCCATCTATGCTGTAACCATTCACTCCTTCTGATACCACTATGAACGAATAGGTATATATTAGGTATATATTGGGTGATATACTATACAAGTATCCGCCAATTTTTTGGTGCATTTTGAAATACAAATTTAATTCATTTGAAATTAATTTTAGTAAAATTTATATTAGCTATTATTATACCATGACCTCTTGCCATTATTCAGGTGCTTTCAAATTTCTTCAGTAAAGAACTTTATAGTTTATCGATGAAAAACTGCATTTGTCAAATGATTAAGTGGCTCTTCGGTCAATCAATTTTTTAGCATTAAGAGAGTTTTACAAAGACTGAAACAAATGGAATTTTAATAGTGAAAGGTCAAAACTATACGATGGATGAATCAATACTTTCCAACTAAGTTCCATTAATTTACTTCGAGTCATCAAAATTCTAACACAAATCATTTTCTGTTGGTCAATTCTGATCAATTTTTATTTATTATTTCGCTTAAGCCATTGAGTTGTGAGCAGTAGAACACCGAATTAACCATTGCACTAGACTGGAGTAACTCGCAATAGACAATTCGTTTTCAATCCTACCAAACACTTAATATAACCTTATTTGCGGTTAAATCTGGGTTTGAAGTCATTTGTGGAGGGTTGCCAACTTTTAACCAGATCGCTTACGTTGGATAGTCTTGTACTTAATCTGTTTTTCATCGTCTTGAACAGTTCACTTCAAAAATGGTGAAAATAGTTCAATTTCGTTGTTTCAACAAAATTTCACTGACGGTAATTTGATGAATCAAATATCTTTGCGTTATTTCGTATGGCACCCAAACATGTAGCGTCGTTGCATAGGCTGCTCTTTTTAATTAACTCCAAACTATAATGTGGTTGATTTTTAGTGCCTTCATAAATTACATATCACCTACTATGAAGCTTATGGCAACCCAATTTTCGAATTTGGACTATAATTATTTAATCATTCACACGCCAACGAAAAAAAACACGTAAATTCCCCAGAAAGATATCTAAGAAGCATTACCTTCAAATATAGATCTAACCAGTCAAATCACAGAAACTATATGAAAAAATGTTATTTGCATCAAAGTATCAGAGATAAGTCAATGATTAGCAATCTCAAAAAATTTTACTTTTTTCATATGTGTAATTAAAATAAATTGTAGATACACAAATAAACTTTTTTTCTAATGCAATTTGATTTTTTTTTTTGATATTATTAATCAGTAGATTTTTAAATAATTTACAATATTAATTTTAATATATATACGAATGCTTTCTTTTGCAATTGTTTTATTATAATATAAGTATCATATATTAATAAGCGCAATGATTAGATAAATTTTATTTCAGTAGAAAAGATTAAGAGGAAAAAAAATTAAAAGAATTATATTTACTTTCTTTATGGCAACAACAATAAAAGAAATTACTAATCCTATATTATTTTTGCTTTTTCTGACTAAATTGTTTAGTAAAAGATAAAAAATGCAGTTGTAAATGTATCTTGAATATTTTTAAAAATAACCGAAATTTATCACATAGTTATCATAACTAATGGTAACTAAGTTATTCTTATAGAAATATTTAATATCTAGAGCCATTCAAGAACTACGTTCAAATCTTCCATTGGAACTCATAACACAGAAACCACTTCTTATCTGGTAAATTTTTGTACATATTTCAAAAACTTCAAACTTGAAAACGATTATTATATCGTATATATAAGCTTTAATAACATGTAGAAATTTTTAGTTGGTCTATTTTTAGATTTCGATAGAGCTTTTATTTAACCACTTTGCGTAGATGCGTCTACATAAATTTGAAAAAATTATTTCATTTTTAATTAAATTTTGTTTATAGAGAAATTTATATTATTTTCACTACTAATTATTAAATAAATACTATAATACATGTCCCCCTGTAAGATTTTCAAGAATAATCAGCTTTAAGGCTAACTTCTACCTTAATTTTATATTTTATTTACAATGTACCATATCTTATTATCATTGTAAAATATAATTTTTTATTACTATAATTTGTAAAAAATAAGTTATAAGACACACATACTTTTTGATTTATGTGGCATCGTGCCTTTATATTTTCTTTTATAATTTTCTGGCAACCCATTTACCGAATGGAGTTCATATTAAATAGACCATATTCCCCACTTGAAAATGGAGTACACATTAACTTTACTAAAACTCCACTTTTCAACTCTAAAAATCTGGTATAAAATTGAGCTAAAGACTAAATCTTTCACCCCAGTTTATCTCAAATAGAGAGCAAAAGGTGAGTACAATAATCAGATAACAAAGGAAGATCCACCCCACAGTTTTGGATAACAGACTCAAATCAACTATAGAAATGTGCGCCCATTAGTCCAATAAATATTGAGCAAAAACTAAAAACAAGAGCATGCATGCTCTCACCACTACAATGACAACGACCCAAAGATATTAGTATTTGTGAGTAGAGAGTCACTCAAAATCGCTCCTGAATGTGCTCGAATTGGCAAAGTGATTTTCCAAAGCAAACGCGAACCGAAATCAGCTAAAACAGTTTTAATTTTTTGTTCGAAGAGTGCGCTTTGTGCTGCGGTGCCAAAGCGTCTTGATTTGAAAGTGGAGTCATTTAAGACGGCTTGACTGTGACAAACAGCAAAATAGATCGATTCGGCGCGAGTGTTTGTTTATAAATGCTTATAGTTTTTTAAAATATTATAATTAATTATCTGAAATTATTAACTTTTAAACAAAATAGTGCTTTAAGAAATTAAGCACGCTATGTCCAATAAGTGATCGATTTAATTAAATAAAAGTGGCGCGTTTACTTTTTAATAATTTGTATGGTTTTTTACAAAATTCGTATGTAAAGCGTACCTTTCCGAAAAACAAAATACCGAACTGTAAATATTCAATAATTTTAAAAATAAGTGCATTTTAAACAGAAGTAATAAGAAAACACTGCCAAAATGTTTGATGTATTCGGCTCCGTTAAGGGGCTTCTGAAAATCGATCAGGTCTGCATCGATAATAATGTCTTTCGCATGCATTACAAAGCTACTGTAATCATATTGATTGCATTCTCTCTACTGGTCACTTCTCGTCAGTATATTGGTGATCCAATTGATTGTATCGTGGATGAAATTCCTTTGGGTGTTATGGATACCTATTGCTGGATTTACTCGACATTTACGGTGCCAGAACGTTTGACTGGTGTCACTGGACGCGATGTTGCACAGCCAGGTGTGGGACCGCATAGAGAAGGGGTGGATGAAGTGAAATATCATAAGTACTATCAGTGGGTTTGTTTTGTATTATTCTTCCAAGCCATACTATTTTATGTACCACGTTACTTGTGGAAATCGTGGGAAGGTGGTCGTCTTAAGATGTTGGTTATGGATCTCAATAGCCCAATTGTGAATGAGGAATGTAAAAACGATCGCAAAAAAATATTAGTCGATTACTTTGTGGACAATTTGAAACGACACAATTTTTATGCATTCCGTTTTTTCGTTTGTGAAGCTATGAATTTTGCTAATGTTATTGGACAAATATTCTTCGTGGACTTCTTCTTGGATGGCGAATTCTCTACATATGGTAGCGATGTATTGAAATTCACCGAAATGGAACCTGATGAACGTATTGATCCCATGGCAAGAGTCTTTCCAAAAGTAACAAAATGCACCTTCCACAAATACGGTCCTTCTGGCTCGGTGCAGAAATTCGATGGTCTTTGCGTGTTGCCATTGAATATTGTCAACGAGAAAATCTACGTGTTCCTGTGGTTCTGGTTCATCATTTTAAGTATTTTGTCCGGAATTTCCTTAGTGTACCGTGTTGCTGTCGTGATGGGTC